CAGCATGATGCTGCCACCACCATGCGTCACCGTAGGGATGGTGCCAGGTTTCCTCCAGACGTGATGCTTGGAATTCAGGCCAGAGTTCAATCTTGGTTTCATCAGACCAGAGAATCTTGTTTTTCATGGTCCGAGAGTCATTTAGGTGCCTTTTGTCAAACTCCAAGCGGGCTGTCATGTGCCTTTTACTGAGGAGTAGCTTCCATCTGGCCACTCTACCATAAAGGCCTGATTGGTGGAGTGCTGCAGAGATGGTTGTCTTTCTAGAAGGTTCTCCCATCTCCACAGAGGAACTCTGGAGCTCTGTCAGAGTGACCATCGGGTTCTTGGTCACCTCCCTGACCAAGGCCCTTCTCCCCCGATTGCTCAGTTTGGCCTGGCGGCCAGCTCTAGGAAGAGTTGTGGTGGTTCCAAACTACTTCCATTTAAGAATGATGGAGGCCACTGTGTTCTTAGGGACCTTCAATGCTGCAGACATTTTTGGGTACCCTTCCCCAGATACAGTGGGGAAAAAAAGTATTTAGTCAGCCACCAATTGTGCAAGTTCTCCCACTTAAAAAGATGAGAGAGGCCTGTAATTTTCATCATAGGTACACGTCAACTATGACAGACAAATTGAGGAAGAAAAATCCAGAAAATCACATTGTAGGATTTTTTATGAATTTATTAGCAAATTATGGTGGAAAATAAGTATTTGGTCACCTACAAACAAGCAAGATTTCTGGCTCTCACAGACCTGTAACTTCTTTAAGAGGCTCCTCTGTCCTCCACTCGTTACCTGTATTAATGGCACCTGTTTGAACTTGTTATCAGTATAAAAGACACCTGTCCACAACCTCAAACAGTCACACTCCAAACTCCACTATGGCCAAGACCAAAGAGCTGTCAAAGGACACCAGAAACAAAATTGTAGACCTGCACCAGGCTGGGAAGACTGAATCTGCAATTGGTAAGCAGCTTGGTTTGAAGAAATCAACTGTGGGAGCAATTATTAGGAAATGGAAGACATACAAGACCACTGATAATCTCCCTCGATCTGGGGCTCCACGCAAGATCTCACCCCGTGGGGTCAAAATGATCACAAGAACGGTGAGCAAAAATCCCAGAACCACACGGGGGGACCTAGTGAATGACCTGCAGAGAGCTGGGACCAAAGTAACAAAGCCTACCATCAGTAACACACTACGCCGCCAGGGACTCAAATCCTGCAGTGCCAGACGTGTCCCCCTGCTTAAGCCAGTACATGTCCAGGCCCGTCTGAAGTTTGCTAGAGTGCATTTTGATGATCCAGAAGAGGATTGGGAGAATGTCATATGGTCAGATGAAACCAAAATAACTTTTTGGTAAAAACTCAACTCGTCGTGTTTGGAGGACAAAGAATGCTGAGTTGCATCCAAAGAACACCATACCTACTGTGAAGCATGGGGGTGGAAACATCATGCTTTGGGGCTGTTTTTCTGCAAAGGAACCAGGACGACTGATCCGTGTAAAGGAAAGAATGAATGGGGCCATGTATCATGAGATTTTGAGTGAAAACCTCCTTCCATCAGCAAGGGCATTGAAGATGAAACGTCGCTGGGTCTTTCAGCATGACAATGAACCCAAACACACCGCCCGGGCAACGAAGGAGTGGCTTCGTAAGAAGCAATTCAAGGTCCTGGAGTGGCCTAGCCAGTCTCCAGATCTCAACCCCATAGAAAATCTTTGGAGGGAGTTGAAAGTCCGTGTTGCCCAGCGACAGCCCCAAAACATCACTGCTCTAGAGGAGATGTGCATGGAGGAATGGGCCAAAATACCAGCAACAGTGTGTGAAAACCTTGTGAAGACTTACAGAAAACGTTTGACCTGTGTCATTGCCAACAAAGGGTATATAACAAAGAATTGAGAAACGTTTGTTATTGACCAAATACTTATTTTCCACCATAATTTGCAAATAAATTCATTAAAAATCCTACAATGTGATTTTCTGGATTTTTTTTCTCATTTTGTCTGTCATAGTTGACGTGTACCTAGGATGAAAATTACAGGCCTCTCTCATCTTTTTAAGTTGGAGAACTTGCACAATTGGTCACTGACTAAATACTTTTTTTCCCCACTGTATGTGCCTCAACACGATCCTGTCTCGGAGCTCTGCGGACAATTCCTTCGACCTCATGGCTTGATTTTTGCTCTGACTTGTACTGTCAACTGTGGGACCTTATAGACAGGTATTTTTTTGTTGTAATAAATGTGCAAAAATTTCAAAAAACCCTGTTTTCGCTTTGTCATTATGGGGTATTGTGTGTAGATTGATGAGATGTTATTTTTATTTTATTTTAGAATAAGGCTGTAACGTAACAAAATGTGCTAAAAGTCAAGGGGTCTGAATACTTTCCGAATGCACTGTACATGTGTGCCATCTTTCAGACATTTCTCATACCGGCTATTACTAATGGAAAATCCCAACACTTTACCAGATAAGTAAAGAGCTCCTATACGAGAGGTAAAGGGACTTTTATTTGCTTATGCATGGCATGTGTACCTGGCTGCTATAGGACTCTGCACTGGTCTCAGTCAGGGAGGGCCATCTCCCTTTAACCTGTTTTATGGGCATTGTCCTGACTGAAACACCTGCAGGGAGACACTGGAGCGAGTCCTTATGTAGGACACCTTTTCAGTGGGGCATTATTCTGGGTTATTTTAAGACACGGCAGAAGTAGGCTGAGAGTAAAATGCCAAAAAGGCCAGAAATTAGGAATGGTAGTATAATGTGAGTATACCAGCGAGGAAAATAGTTTTACAAAATGTGGGGTTCCATAATCCTTTAAGGAAAAAAAGCATATAGAAATACAAAATAAAACCTAAAATATGTGACCTATTGAGTGGCTATAAAACTATTTCTCCACTGAAACAATGCAATTTACTTACATGCTTGACAGACTACAGCTACTGCAAGTCTGAACATGCTCAACCAACCACACGGCAAACACCCTTATTTCAGTTTTAAATTAGCACTCCAGAACATTTCAGACAAGAGCGAGGCTACTGTTCAGCAGTTGAAGAGATCAAACATATGACAAAGAACCCAAAGTTGACACTTAACCATGTTTTACACATTAGATAGACAAGTGGAACAGTGAGAAGAACAATAACATTACCAACCATGGCCAGCTACACAGACCTACTGTGGTCAGAGAGTATCCACCCAACTTGCTACACGCATTACTCACAATGACTCATCAAAAGAACATCCAGTAACTGTGCAAAACAATGAGGTGTGTGCAGGGAAGTTACTACAAAAGTTTAATCCTGTTGCATAGCTGTCTGGGACTGAATGAAAACACTGGGGCAATGAGGACAAGTGCAATACGGGTTTATTGTCAAATCGGTTCTTAAAACATTAACTTGATGTAATTTTGTCATATGAAGTCTTAAAGTGCAGAATTAAAGCAAGTTCCCTGGTGGAACTGTACATTTGTATGGTTCGGTCCTTAGCTAAATGTATTTCTAAAAATATGAAAAGCCCTTTAACCACATGAATAAAGCTAATGTGCAAGGTTATTTCACAAAGCTCAGCCCCACTGTACAAGGCCTCCTCTCTTTTCAATTATAATACAATTGGACAAATATAAAGGTTTCACGTTTGGGTTAGTCAGAGTTCTGAAGAGTTTATGCGATAATTGATATGCCGTACAAAGCTCAGATGTCAATGAATTTCCTGTAAACTCAAACTACATGCACGGCCATATTAGTATCCAACTAACCTATGTCTACTGTTTTAGTGCTCAGCTCACCATAGAACAAATCAGGTTCAAAGATCAATGACATGAAGCATAAGGGTTGCATACACTCCTACTCAAAACCTTCTGCACTCAATTTCCTTTTACAGTTAGCACATAAAATCACCTAACCCTACCAATCGAACAGCATTCAGCAATTGTCACATCCCTCTTTGCTTAGTGTAACAAATTCTGGAAACAAAGGAACAGGCAGTCACCACATATAATGCAAGATATTGCACAGACAAGTGCTAACACAGAACAGTCGCATATCATAGCCTGTGCATAGGAGGAATAAAGCACTTATGGTATTTGCAAACATTACCACTTCATAAAGCGTCATGGTTTTGATAGAGAAATGAATTCATTCCATTACACTCAACTCCGCCGATACAAAACCATGACAACATAACCATTGAATGAGGGCATAAAGAATTTACGATTAAAGTTAAGAGAGTCCATATATTGGCAACATAGTAATGGAAAAAACAAGTCCCAACATTCCTCCATCTTTGCATAGACAGAAAGAAACAAAGAGGAGGCATAGAGAAATCTCTCAATGATATCTTAATAAATAGCATGGAATATGTAGAATTTAGTAAGCAAAAAACTACCAAAACATATTGTGCATGCCCATATTACAAAAATTCCCATTGATTTGCCACAGAGCTTTAAAGGAGGCTGCACTTCCTGATTTGGCCTCTTTTTTTCAGCCATTGACATTTAAAAAATATTGTCCCGTGTACATTGTGTAATTTACTGATAGTCCCTAACTAGCCCCATAGAAATATCTCATGTCAAACCAAATTGGCCATGGGAATTACTATGGGGTCGCGTGCAGCTCCGCTCCGAATTCATGATTACTTGGGTGCTGCCAGCTGTGGGCAGGATTTAAATAAACCCAACCCATACAAAATGTTAGGGTACTCCTCATTCTGTGACATATCATTTTTTCCTATCATTTCGCAAATCTCCGTTTTGGAAGAGACTGACTACGACCAAAATTATCCTATTTACACTTTGTAGACAATTTTGACACTACAATAAATGTTTGACTCATATTGATGCCACATAAGCTGTTTTCAAAACAAGAAGTTGCTTTTAGGGGCAGTCACTCTTTCATTCTGGCTTTGCAAGGGGGAAAAAAGTAAGTTCACGCAATGTTCATCATGGACTTCAATATAATCAAAAAGAGTGCACATGGGGCTAGGAGGATGGTAGCACACACGTCTTTAATAGTCATTATCTGTGGAGAAGCACAAAGGCCTCTAGCTTCTCTGGGATGTTGCCTCTGTAGCAGAGGCTGTGCTTGATGATAGCCCGTGCAGCCAGACACTGCAGGGTGGTGTGGTTGATGGGCTGGATCATGTTCTTGGCCATCTCCTTCTCGTCCAGCAGGTCGCAGGCCGTCTGCTTCAGGGAGTTGGTGCTGTCAAAGTGCGTGCCGCAGGCGATCAGCAGGTTCATGATGTCCGGGTGGTTGTTGGAGGCGGCCACATGCAGGGGGCTGTTGTTGTCCTCGTCGCGGCAGTTAACGTCCGCCCCACACTCCAGTAGGATAGAGGTGACCTGGAAAGAGGGGAACTTACAGACAGGGTAGCGGCCCACGCAGGTGGTGTTCCTGTCCACGGCCAGGTGGAGCGGGCTATAGCCGTTCTTACCGCAGGGCTGCAGCTTGAGGAACCTGTAGATGGTCTCCTTCTTGAAGTGGTCCTGCTCCACAGTACAAGGGACCTTCTCCAGCAGGCAGATGAGATGCAGGATGATGGAGAGGGCCTTGCTGAGATGAGCCGGGTCAGGCTGGGTTTGTTTCACCGCTCGTTCAATCTCCAGCACGCTCTTACTGAGGACGCCCATGAGGTCGTCGAAGGAGACCGAGGTGCCCAGAAGGCCTTTAGCGCGGTCCTGGAGCATGAAGGAGAATAGCTCGGCGAAGGACAGCAGGCTGCTGGCTGTCATGGGGCTGAGGGGGTCCAAGTTGCTCTGCTGCATGTCCAGAGCGTACTTCCAAAGGTTAATGCAGCGCTCAAAATTCCCAGAGTCGGCGTATACAGCACCCCGGTAGCGGATGTAGTAAGAGGTGTCGGGGTGGGAAGGGCCCAGGATGCGCTCTCTAATGAGCAGGGCCTGCATCCTCATCTCATCTGGGTCTGAGATTAGACTGTCTAGCTCCTCCCCATTACTTACCTCCCTGGCATAGTCATAGGCCATGATCAACTGCTTTGGCTTTGCTTTGTTGAGAACATTTTTGCTGTCACTGTATCTCAGGTCCATGGCCCTCTTCCAGTACTTTAATGCCCCAAGAAGATCCCTCTTTTTGTCCACAAAAGTGGCACCAAGCAGTTCGAGGGCGTTTATCCTCTCCATTTGGTTTGTTTGCTGGTGTTGTGTCAGATAGTCAACAATGTTAGTGTGGCCAGTCACACTAGCAGACAGCAGTGGGGTCATTCCATAACCATCCCGCTCCATGGTGGCACCATATTTTAGCAGCATCTTCATTATCTCCAAGCTGCCGGATTCAGCACAGTCATGTAATGCTGTGTTACCTGTGAAGAAAGCAATACTAATACATGTTTTGCAAACTGGAAACGATTTTCAATAAATAAAAATATAAAAATATATTCAAATGTATATTCAAGTTAATTTAAAGTAGATGTTTAAGTGAAGAGACAAAAAGGTTACATTTGCTACATTTCATAACTAAATATGTTTGTCAGATAATTTGGTAAGCAAATGTCTTCCCACATGCTTGCCTGTAACCCTTTCCCTCTAGGAGTAACCCAGAGTGATGTAAGCAATGTGCCAATCTAAGCACCTTCCAAGGGGGTACAAATATCATGGATTGGAACAGATCTTGTGAGTGGGCTATTGTAAGGCTTAAATTTAGAACAGGCCTGGGTGGTATCACGTCCCCTAATTGGTTTAAATACAAATTAATCCAGCTTGTTAGGTGACCTGATTAGATGTCCAAATGCGAGGATTTACCTTGAGAAAGTCTGAAAAACAGCATGAACGTATACAGGTTTGGCACATTGTATCATCAGATAAATGTCATCTGAATTTAACAGCAAATTACTGAATGTTTCATCATTTTGGTTTTGAGCCGTCATTACATAAAAACAGAGCACCTGCCAGGTCCTAGGCCTCATCTCATTGCTCAGGTAGGCCCAGGGATATACAATGCAGGGAAATAAACGTTTGAATGTGTGACCTCACCTTTAACACTTTTCCTGTTAACGTCAGCATCTTTCTCCAAGAGATACTGGGCAATTTCCTTGTGTCCTTTGTAACACGAGATCATGAGGCATGTGTGACCATGTCTGTTTGCCACCTCCAGGTCTGCCTTGTGCTCTACCAGGTATTTTACAATGTCCAGATGTCCATCGAAGCAGGCTGCTCTCAGGGGGGTGGAATTGGTGAGTGTTGTATCGTTCACAGAGGCACCGTGGCCAAGTAAAGATTGCACTACTTTCAGGTGTCCTGCTGCTGAGGCAGCCCATAGAGGGGGGGCACCCTCGATAGTCTCTCCATCAAAATTCACTGACCCCCCAACCTCAACGGGTGCGCAGCAACACTCCAAAAGATACTCCACTAAATCCAGGTGTCCGTATCTTGCAGCCATAAGCAAAGGGGTCGCCCCGTTTGTTTTCTCTGCCATTAATTTGGTAACCTCTAGGCCAGTTTTGTTCTCCAAAAGCTTCTTAAGCAACCGTAGCTTGCCGTCTCTGGCTGCATTGAACACGGCCGTATGTAAATCCATTTCTGCAGCTTTGTTCACTGATACACCGTTGATTAAGAAGACACGAGCGTCTAGATAAAAGTATGTGGCAGGTGTTGAGCAGAAGCCTTTGTGGAACTCGATACTAGGTGACTAGCTAACTACTTCTTGCTAAATTAGCCAAATGGGAGGCAGAAATCAGCCAGCTAGCTACTGAAAAACGTTTTTGTTAAAATTGCCATGTTCTGCTTTCCCCTCTTCTCAATTGAAAGTTTGTTAGCGACGGATATATAGCTACCTTCCTAAATTGGCTGGGTAGCTAGCTACCGTACAGTTCATCAACCAGATATCATGGGTGTAATCATTACGCAAAATCTGTTGCAAAACGTTTGCAACAAAACCCGTTTACTCCAAACGGAAAACGCAAACGAAAGTTTCTACCGGACACATTCAGGTAGGTCCCGGCCCGTTTCGTTTGGTTCTTAAACGGTAAACAGTTTCCGTAATGAATACACCCTAGGGGTGTAATCATTTAGCAAACAGTTGCAAAACATTTCGCAACTAAAACGAGAGTTTCTATTGGACAAATTAATGTAGATTCCGCCCCGTTCGCTTCTGTCTGAGAAACGTTTTGCAAAAGAATCGGCGTAATGAATACGCCCCAGCTAGGAGTGTTCAGTCTACGCTGTCCGACGTCCTTTTCAATTTCATCAAGCAATATTTTTTGATTAGCCTTAGTTCTGCATGTCATTTTCCGACAGAACCACGTGCAAGTAGACGTATATCTAAATGTTGTATCCAGTTTAAAGATCAAGAAATACAGTGAGGGCCAGAGAACATCCACACGGCTTGGTATTTCGTGTACAGCTAAGCTAGCTAGCCAACATTGTCCAGCAGACGAAGTCAGTTGAGATGCGTTATTTTTCTTCGTTGACCAGCTTGTAGAGTCGCAAATTTTGCCCGCCCATTAAATGTATCCCAGAGGAAATAACATAAGAAAATCTAGCTAGTATGGCTATTTTTCTTCAATGTTCTTGAGGGGGGCGGGCAAATTTGTCCACCCACCACACTGGTTAGATCGTCACGACTCAATGGGCGGATTCGATTATGCTGCGGTGTGGGGCACGTGACAGGAACGGGCAAAAATATTGAGGGAGGAGCACGCTTCTCAAATCGAAAAGTAATCTGCGCCGCTCGGTCATGTCAACAATTACGCAGCATAGTGCATCGTCCAGAAACATACATATATTTTCCATAAAATGTTTGAATTTTCAAATTACTTTTCATTGGGAAGGCATATAAATAGTTTGTATCAAAATAAATCACTTTTGTATGTGAAAACTCAGAATCCTACTAATTACTCCAAGTGCTTGGTTACGTGACCTTTGTTTTGAGCAGACGTCGCCGATGGGCTTTGAACGGGGCACCTGTAGCTCACGCCCGTGAGGCAGCCCGGTTCCAAAACGAATGCAATCAACCTTCACCCGGTGCAAAACACGCCTACCCGGGACAGATTAATCGAATCGAAAACAATGCCGTTTTTTTGTAATTCCTTATTTATTGAAAAGGAAACCATCCAATCACAGAGCTGATATTCGCTTATTCGCTGGTGTTCGCTTACGCAATAGCAGTTAAAGGGAAATACCCGACTCCATCATTTTAGGAGGTTGAGCAAGATGTCATTTACATTTTTTTGGTTTGTGTGAATAAAGTTGGCATCTGCGCATAAAACTGTATTAAACTAATAATAACATTTTCATGTCCTTACAGGCAGATGGGGAGATTGCATTGCATGTATTTTATTGTTGTCTACTACCTCCTCCTGGAGGTTGAGTGAACAATGTACAGAGTATAATATGTCGTTTTTTCCTCTGTGATCAATTATTAGATCAACAAGCACCAAGTGTGTAGAATCAAGATCAATTTCAGAAAAAGTTGAATGCTTTCTGCAGTTCTTGAAAATATCACTAGACAATACAATCATAAAATCTTTCATTACAAATGTTCCTTGACACATTTCTCAGTGTTGTATACAACCACACCTTTCATGATGTTCACAAGTGTACATTGCCCACAAGCTGCATCCTATGTAAAGAACTAAATGTAATAGTTGTTGATCATCAGAAACCTGAGCAGTGAGTGGGATTTTAACGTATCAGCTATTCCTGATGATACTCTCTGATTAAAGAGCTCTCTAACCAAATGTAATTATTGTGAAATATTCTGCAACACAATATAGAGGTAATTGCCGAAATAATGGAAACACTTGAATAAATTAGGGACAGAAAGTATATTGAAAGCAGGTGCTTCCACACAGGTGTGGTTCTTGAGTTAATTAACCAACTAACATCCCATCATGCTTAGGGTCATGTCAAAAATGCTGGGCAGGCCATTATTTTGGCGACCATGGCTTTGCCCCATAGGATGACAATGCACCCATCCACAGGACACTGAATGGTTTGATGAGCATGAAAACCATATGCCTTGGCCATAAATCTATCACCCAGTTGAACACTTATGGGAGATTCTGGAGCAGCATCTGAGGAAGCATTTCCACAACCATCAACAAAACACTAAATTATGGAATCTCTCGTGGAAGAATGGTGTCGCATCCCTCCAACAGAGTTCCAGACACTTGTAGAATCTATGCCACGGTGCATTGAAGCTGCTCTAGCTTGTGGTGGCCCAACGCTCTAGTAAGACAGTATGTTGGTGTTTCCTTTATTTTGGCAGTTACCTGTACATCTCATAAGTCCTGGATATACCTGTAGATTCTATCCATTTCTGTGGCTCAGTTTATTCATATATTGAAGGTCAGACAATGGGTTTACCAGAAAATGTTTATTCAGCTATGCAAATAAGGAAACAATTCCTTGGACTGCCAACAAGCTGATGACTGTGAGGAAATAATAATGAACAGTACACAACCCAAAAATAAGACCACACACATGCCTAATATAAAACAAATTAAATAATTGTGCTTACACCAGCTTCATATTGTTTTAACCATATACACCAAGAACAAAACACCAGTTACAATAAAGAGATGGTTAAACTCCTAGAAATGCAGAAAGTCAAGGTCCATCCACCCAAAACACAACCTCTGCTTGCCACAAGCCTGTTGAGGAGTGGAATCTCACATTAAAAACAAAGAATATGCTTACCAATTGTTTACACCAGACAGAGAACTTTTGATTTGTTTGATATCATAACTTGAATCTAACAACCAAGTTTGAATTTACTCATTACTAAAGGAAGTGAGAACTGTGCGCAAATTAAATTCTGCAACTACGATTTAATGTATCAGGTAGGTCTCAAATTAGAACTGCAAGACGGGCTACCAGTATGTTCAAATTATTCTGGTAAACAGTGTTGTAAAAAACTGACAATATGCACCCACATAAATACGTTGTTGTATTTCCAACATTATTTGCTTGATTTTATTTAGATAATCCACTGGGTTTGTTAAAAGTAACTTCAAAGCTTGAATGTACCTTAAAAATTCAAATTCTATGAATGGCATCTATAAAAAAAACAAATACATTCTGCCATGAACTGTGAACTGTTGTTGTTGGCGGCATTGGATCTGAAGTCCCTTGTGGAGGTGACCGGGATGAGATGAGATGCTGTGGGATGTTAGGATCCAACACGCGTCGTGGTGGTCTTCCTGTCAGAAAAGAAGCTCCTCAGCAAGACCACCTGGCTGATGCTGACCACCAGCAATATGAAGGCCTCCCCAATGGACCAGAAAGCCACTCTTGTGTTAAGGTCCTCGGCACGGCTGCGTCCCTGAGCCTCCCGCAGACGGAAATGTGTCTGATAGTCAATTACCGATTTCAGGGCCTCATGAATGGACACACAGGCAGACTCCATCTGAAACAGAGGTATTTACAGGCTAAAAAAGGCATGCAAGATCCCTGCATGGTTTGACATGCAAGCACTGCAAATAACCAGAAATCTTTGCACACAGTTCTTTCCATGACATCTTTGCCAAATGGGGCAAACTGATGTAGAAAATTAACTGATTGTTTATGTTTGATTGAACTGCCATATTAAATACCGCACAGAAAAACACCTCTCAGCAATAGTCATCAACAACAGACCTACCTGGGTTAAAGCAGTGACCCTGTTTTCATTGGGGAAAAGTGGGGGATCCTCTCCAACTTGGAAATCAAAGTAGACGGTCTTATGCGTGAAGGTAGAAAACTCATTGCTGAAGCAGAACTTATATGTTCCGTTCTTGGCAGCCGTAAATGTAAAGCTATCGTACTGCTTCTTCATTTCTTTGTAAAGAACCGTACCATCTGTATCCTCTAGACGACAGTCAACATCGTAATGCCCGCCAGTGACAACCTGGAGAGAAAATGTTTTGTTTAAAATACAGCCTATCCATTTAGCTATAGTTATTCCCATATAACTCCATGTCATAATGTGAGGGCCTCAATCAACTTACCTGGAACTCAAGTGTACACTTGGTGCCAATGATAATATCTTCATAGAAACACTGTTTTGCGTTATCCGGAAGCTCAAACGTAAGCTCGGAGCCAAACGCCCATCCACAGAGCAGGTGGGCCCAAAGAACCTGCACCAACACTCTGATGGTACCATGATAGCTGCACATCTTGGCTGGTGGAAAAGTGGTAATCTGATATTGCTATGAATCTGCAAAACAGAACTATTTCCAGATAACATCAAACAAATACCTATCTAAGAAAAACGTATAAATTGACATGCGAACTAACAACAAATGACTGAAATGGAATGGTCGACAAACCAAACGCGGATTTCACAATTGGCTAGCTTGATATGCTAATTTAGCTAGCTAGCTGACACGGCCGATTAACTTTCTATCCGTTTTTATTAGAATTTGAGTTGGCAAGATTAACTACGTTTACAATTAACAATTACAATAATTTGTGTATTATACACACATTTTAAGTCATCGTTGAATCGCATGCTATTTTAGCTCAATATTGTGGTTCATTCAAGCTACTCACTTCAAATTCCTCATCCGGATGAAAGCAGCTACTAGGGACGTAGTATCACCCCATTGGCTAACATGAAATGGGCCCGCCTCCGTTCCTCTACCATTGGTCAGAATTATCGAATGAAGCGCCCTCACAGGAGGTGCGTTCAGTTCGCTAGAACGTTTGCTAGTTTGCGGAACGGTTTGTACTGTACGACACCTTTCCCCAAAACGTTGTTGTACGTTCTTGAACAGGCTTTGAGGTACGTTTGGTGGGTGTGGCTTGAAGCAATGAGTGACATTTAAAGGGCAGTTGCCATGCTGACAGTGTTCCCCAACTCACAACCCCTCCCCGTTTTTCAACTGGTCGTTCATTCCACCACCGTTTCCGTTCAATTGAACGTTCTAGAACGTGAACGCAGTCAGGGTCATGGCTAGATGGGACCCAGTTTTTGTCAAATTAACGTCGTTTTTTTTGCACTTTAGCTAACCCTAACCTTAACATAATTCTCCTAACATGCTACGAAAAGTCAAATCTGACGTTAATTTGACAAAAGCTGTATTCCTTCTAGCTATTACCCCTTCACAGAGACGATATTAATCAGGAGGAAATGTCGATTTTTGTCTCTAGTCTTGTTACTGTCAAATTTGTCGATGTTTGTCGGATTTTTTATAACCACCACCACACTATCATTTGAATAAACCATGTGACCACTAATACCAGGGTCAGATTATTCTTCCAATCAACCTACAGCTACATACCTAGGCTACTAAATACATACTTTGACCACACGGGAAGTAGGGGTGTTGAGGGTGCTGCAGCACCCTCTGAAAAATAAAAAATAAAATCACAAAAGTAATGCACTGGGCCTTTAACAGTCCTGTATTAGGAGACAGATATAGCCATCTGTAGCTCTGGCCAACATTTGTTTGTTGTAAAAAAAAAGCTGTCCCTCTTAACCTGACTGGCCTTCAGCCCTGTCAATCATCAATCACACCTCTGTTCATCCAAACAATCAGGGCGCTTGGACACTCCAGTGCTCAGCCACACACCTCAAGTTAGAGTATGTTCACCTCAGGCCCAGCTCCACAAGGGGGAAAAAGGGGGCTTAGCCCCTTCATTTTAGTTTTATGTCCCTATATAAAAATAGCAAATTAGTTCAAATGATTGAGTGACAGGTTGGCGCAAAATGTGTATCTTTGCTGCACTGTGTCAGCACAATGGACAGAGCGCGCTGTGGTTTGTGTAGGAGGGCTATGGAAAGCCCCAGGGGCGGTTAGGTATGACTCCTTTGGGTTTCCATGAAAAGCGTGGAAAAACGCTTCTCATCTTTGGTAGGCTAAGTGAATAACGTGATACCCCTCCGCCTGTAATATTTAATTTTTATTTATAAGGGCGGGGTCAAGTTTACCATTGAAGCTGCTTCACTCAACTCTGCCTCACGCCCCACCACTATAGAGTTTAGTTAGCTTCTTAACTAGCTATAAAAAGCGTTCATGTTATTAGCCTTCACCTATTTAGCTAGCTCGAACCAGCTAAGCGGCCACGATGGGTATCAGAAATTGGCTTTGCCAAAGTACCCAAACAAAGCCTAAGGAGAAGGGGACACGTGGCTACTGTGTCAGTGGTTGTTAAAAGTTGTGACAGCATTGTGAAGTTCCTCTCTGACATCGAATGCACGCGTTCGTACAACACAGAAGTAGACTTGAGGCTACAAGGCTGCTGAAGGAGGTGACGGACCCCGGCTTTAAGTTTACAGCCACCATGGTGCACAGAATCCTCAGTCTTCTCGATCCTCCAAACAAATTACTCAAGGCAAAAGCAACCGATTTTTACACTGGAGTCAAAGTGGTCCGCATTGCGTATGAGTGCGTTGAGAAGCTGAGGTGTGACAGCGAGTTCGAATCCATTTGGGCACAGTGCAGTGCCAGTGGCACCACCAGCTCCAAACAATGCAAATAGTCCGGGTAGCCATGATTAGCTGTTCAGGAGTCTTATGGCTTGGGGGTAGAAGCTGTTGAGAAGTCTTTTGGACCTAGACTTGGCACTCTGGTACCGCTTGCCGTGCGGTAGCAGAGAGAACAGTCTATGACTAGGGTGGCTGGAGTCTTTGACAATTTTGAGGGCCTTCCTCTGACACCGCCTGGTATAGAGGTCCTGGATGGCAGGAAGCTTGGCCCCAGTGATGTACTGGGCCGTACGCACTACCCTCTGTAGTGCCTTGCGGTCGGAGGCCATGCAGTTGCCATACCAGGCGTTGATGCAACCAGTCAGGATGCTCTCGATGGTGCAGCTGTAGAATATTTTGAGGATCTGAGGACCCATGCCAAATCTTTTCAGTCTCCTGAGGGGGAATAGGCTTTGTCGTGCCCTCTTCACGACTGTCTTGGTGTGTTTGGACCATGATAGTTAATTGGTGATGTCGACACCAAGGAACTTGAAGCTCTCAACCTGTTCCACTACAGCCCCGTCGATGAGAATAGGGGCGTGCTCAGTCCTCTTTTTTTTCCTGTAGTCCACAATCATCTTCTTTGTCTTGGTCACGTTGAGGGAGAGGTTGTTATCCTGGCACCACACGGCCAGGTCTCTGACCTCCTCCCTATAGGCTGTCTCATCGTTGTCAGTGATCAGGCCTACCACTGTTGTGTCGTCGGCAAACTTAATGATGGTGTTGGAGTCGTGCCTGGCCATGCAGTCATGGGTGAACAGGGAGTACAGGAGGGGCCTGAGCACGCACCCAACTGGTGGAGGCCCTGTGTGCCCCTTGACCCAGAGAGCCATAACTTTCTAGATGTGAAACCACTGCTGGATCTAAGAAAAACAGATTTGGTGGAAGCTGAGTTTAGTGTTGCCAGTTTTTGCAGACTGAAATTGCCCGATCCGGCTCCAATGAGGACAAATGGACCCCACTTGATATCCTGCAACGATTCTCTGGGCCTCTCTCCGCTATGCCGACCATGCTTACGGCACTGAAACATCTATTGACTTTTGGGGTGTCCACAGCTACATGCGAGAACTTGTTTTCCACTTTGACAAACGTGTTCAGTCAGCACAGAAGAAGCATGCTCAACTAATCCAATTGGCATTTGAGGGAAATCTGGAACTCAGGAAGTTCCACAGAGCATCAAGGAAGCCGCAACTCTTCTGAAAAGGTAAGAAACGATCTAGCTGGTTGGTTTTCATCAAAATCTTGGTGGTATAGCCAGTGGCATCATTTCAGCAAAAACCTAGGGTATGGAATGGTAAAATAACTTCTCTAGCCAGCCTAGGTTTAAAACGGCCTTGCTTTAGTGTGTAGGGCACTGTCCATGGTGCTGATAGAGCGCAATGGAGATTTCACGCCAACCTGTCACTTCTTGGTCAAAGGCACTCAATGGTCTTTGAACTTTTATGCTTATTGTGGTATAGCGTGATATAAGCAGAATTCAACATAATTCCAATGCAAGAACCCAAATGACACCCCTGGGTATAGCTACATGTCGGTATGTTTCATCATAGAAATAGAAACCATCTATTATGGTTTTCTTGAAGCCTATTGGTTTTCGGGGTTAAAAAAGGGAACTGTACGTATTCGAAACGTGTTTATGGTAGGCTGGCATTGCTTAATTGATTACGTGGGTTGAATTTGATCCACAGAAGTGTATTGTGCCATATCACAACGTGTTGCTGTACTCATGAGTGGCATGATTTTCCATGTTTGAAGCGGGCCTATAGGCCTATTTGTTTGGCAAGACAGCTGTGCATGGCTGCATCTCACTGCATTCCACAGTAAGAACCTCATACCAAAGGTCAAGCATGGTGGTGGTGGTGTGATGGTTTGGGGATGCTTTGCTGCCTCAGGACCTGGACGACTTGCCTTAATAGAAGGAACCATGAATTCTGCTCTGTATCAGAGAATTCTACAGGAGAATGTCAGACCATCCGTCTGTGAGCTGAAGCTGAAGCGCAGCTGGGTCATGCAGCAAGACAATGATCCAAAACACACAATCAAGTCTACATGAAAATAGCTAAAAAGCAACAAATTGGAAGTTTTGGAATGGCCTAGTCAAAGTTGAGACCTAATCCCAATTGAGATGTTGTGGCAGGACTTGAAACGAGCAGTTCATGCTTGAAAACCCACACGTCACTGAGTTAAAGCAGTTCTGCATGGAAGAGTGGGCCAAAATTCCTCCACAGCGACGTGAGAGACTGATCAACAACTACAGGAAGCATTTGGTTGGAGTCATTGCAGCTAAAGGTGGCACAACCAGTTATTGAGTGCAAGGGGGCAATTACTTTTTCACACAGGGGAATTGGGTGTTGCATAACTTTGTTTATGAAATAAATATGTAATTGTTGTGTTATTTGTTCACTTACAGTGGGGAAAAAAAGTATTTAGTCAGCCACCAATTGTGCAAGTTCTCCCACTTAAAAAGATGAGAGAGGCCTGTAATTTTCATCATAGGTACACGTCAACTATGACAGACAAATTGAGGAAAAAAAATCCTGAAAATCACATTGTAGGATTTTTAATGAATTTATTTGCAAATGATGGTGGAAAATAAGTATTTGTTCACCTACAAACAAGCAAGATTTCTGGCTCTCACAGACCTGTAACTTCTTCTTTAAGAGGCTCCTCTGTCCTCCACTCGTTACCTATATTAATGGCACCTGT